GTTCCGTGCGCCAGTGGGTGATGGGGCTGGTTGTGTTGCGAACGGCCCCGGGAGAAAGGCTGCAGGGGAATGGGTTTTGTTCCCGGTGCGTATGCTAGGGTGCGATGTTGGTGTTAAACTGGTGGGGAGGCCCCCGATCATGCCGTTAGCCGGACACCTCGTAGGAGTCGTTAGCGGCAAGGCAGTCGGTGGGGCTGCCCGGGTGGTGGCCGCCTAGTAAGCTACCGTCACCAGTTTCTCCACACGTGCTGATTGTTTTTGGCACCCTAACGAGGAGTGAGCAAAGGTTCACAAGTGTGTGGCGTGCTGTCTTGGCTGGTTGAACGGTAAGCGCAGGCTGTGCCCATTGGCTTCTCTGGCTGTACTGACGGCAGGAGTGCTAATGGAAAGGCACATTGAGCCGTGGCCATGGAAGTTTGAGAAAAGTCTCATTTCAGAAATGCAGAGCAGCTGCTTCAGCCACTTCTGAGACTGAAATCTAATCAGCCATTCATCTTCTGGCTAGTACTGTAGAAGTTTCAATGTTGAATTATACAAAGGATATTAAGAGGTAGTGACGCATATTAAAACATTTGGTTAAGTCATAGAAAAATGCATTCATGAAAAATTATTTTAGTCTCAAGCAGGATCTGATGTTATCTCATTGTTGAACACAGGGGATAACTGTTTTTATTTACTCTTTTAGGTGGAAATGGGCATGAAGAACCATGAAATAGTTCCTGCTAGCTTAATTGCTTCCATTGCCAGCCTTAAACATGGTGGCTGTAATAAAATTTTGAGAGAGTTGGTGAAGCACAGACTTCTAGCTTATGAACGAACTAAAAGTGAGTTGGATTTTTGTGTTGGGCTTCCTCTCGTTCTGTCCCCCATGCCTCACAGCGGTACTGCAGAAGTCCCACAGCTTGGCACATATGAGCATCCAGAGTATTGGATAGCCTCTTGGACCTACCCTGGGAATATGGATTTGTGCAGCAGCAGGTGTTGTAGCTGTCTGTTGAGCTGCTGGTGATAAATAAATTATAAGATGACAGACAGAAAAGAGATAAACAACTTTCTTTTTTGCTCAGATATCAACGTCATGAAAAATAAAAGAATCATCAGTTAAGGCAATATTACATGCATGCAGGAATCAACCCAAAAGACTTACAGTCTTATAGTACTCAAACTGGAGCAGACTGCAAAATCCTTGTACGTTTCTCCCTCTCAGAGCCACTAAAGTAGTTTTTATTCCTAGTCATGTGACAAGTAGCAGTTGTGCAGGCCTTTCCCCATTTTATTCAGACTTTTAGTTGCATCTGGCTTTACAAACATACTGTAAGAGTCTATAGGAAATTCCTATCCTTTTTGTCCCAGTTCTTCAGAACATTAAGGGTCACTCTAGATCATCACAACAATCCCATATCCTGTTGTGTCTCCTATATGTGTATCTTCCAAAAGCTCTTTGGGTTTCCCCAGGCTATTTAAAGTGTTGCCATTGCCTCTATTGAAAGCAGGGCTAACAGCATGTCTGTCTTTCGCCCGGTTGTCAATTTTCTTAAAACTTGGGGGAATTAAACATCTTCACTGTTCTGTCAAACAGGTCTGATGTTAGCCAACAGGTGAAATATTGCTTGGTTCTTGTGTACTAGTAAGCTGAAACAAGACTAAATTGAGGCTTATTTTAAATGTATACATAATGAGTAATGAAGTATTTTGCTTTTTTTTCTTACGTAGCTGTCCAGGGTTATCGGTTAACTAATGCAGGATATGATTACCTTGCTTTGAAAACTCTGTCTTCCCGACAAGTCATAAATTCTGTTGGTAACCAGATGGGTGTTGGCAAAGAATCAGGTAATTTAAAAAAATTTTTTTTTTTTTAATGAACACAGCTGTAATGTTGCAAATGTTTTGCTAGAAGCTAGGTACGGTTTCCTCTGGATAGTCACATCAGTTAGTCTGTCAGACACCAAAATTTGTGGGTCACTTGTTGAAATGCTGCGTGTGGCTTCTGGCTGCATTTCTATATTTCTTCACAAGTGTGTCGTTCTGCTTTGGCCATTTTGTCTAATTCTTGGTTCATTGCTTAAAAAGGTAGTTTGCTGGCAGATGCTGTTTGTCTCGTACTTTGTGAAGAGTTTTGAACCATTTAGCAAAAAGATAGTTTAATCTTTTTCATCCTACTTAAAGAGAAGATAGTAAAGTAAAATAGTTTCAAAACTATCGGAGTACTATCTTGGTTCCTCTTATGTTCATATAGATTGTAATTTGACACAGGGTGTAACTTGTGTAATGGAAGAATGAGAAGGGGATTTTGGGGATCAATGAAATGTAGCAATGAACCATAGGCTATTTTTTTAACACTGCTTAAATTAAGAGGCTGGTCCCTGGGTTGTCTGTCCACTCAACAGAAAGAAGGTGGCCCTTCCAGAGTGCAATTAGGAACACTGGCATCTGCCCTAGATTGCTCTCAAGAATGGCTTATATTTGTTCTTTGCTGTGCAGATAGCTTGGGGATGTTGACTTGAATATAGGAACCTTAAGAAATCCTAGTCTGAAAGATGTTTCAAATCACATCAATATTTCTTCTAGTGGAGTACCATAATCTCTTTAACAGTAATTTCTTCTTGTTCAGGTCTCTAATGTACAATATGTAAATTTTTCAGTCTTTAGTAACTATAGTAGAAGTTGCCATGCCAGAAATAGCGACTGTGAGAAGTGAAGTAACAAACTTATCACTGCACTTTTTTTGTCATATACTAGATTGTTAGACATAATATATTTCTCAGATCTGTGCCATTATATGTCTTCTAGACATTTATGTTGTTGCAAATGAAGAGGAGGAACAGTTTGCACTGAAATTACATAGGCTAGGAAGAACTTCCTTCCGCAGTCTGAAAAATAAACGTGACTACCACAAGCACAGACATAAAATGTCATGGCTGTATTTATCCCGTCTAGCAGCGATGAAGGAGTTTGCCTGTATGAAGGTAGGTGGCCATTCATATACTATCAGCAATGGTATAATAGACGGGAAGATACTTTTCAGACTGTCTCTTAATCAGTTTGTATCTGCAGTACTGGTAGGATTTACATTTGTTTGGGTTTTTTTACTGAAGGACTTTATACATTTCAGAGAATTGCAATGCTATATGTTTTGTATGCTTTCTGATGACAAAATGAAGCTTTGCCAGGGAAGTAATTTAGAACAGCAGCACGTCGTGAGAGAATTCCAGGTGAACGTTGTTATTTATAGATAGATTATTTATATATCACCAGTTGTGCTGTTTTTCTTTAAAATTTCTTGCATAAGCTTGCAAAAACACCTTAAAAAGTAAGGAAATGTACAAGTTACTTGTCAGAATTATTATTTTTTTTTTGTAAAGCTGTCACTTTTTTTTTAAATTCCCTTATTTTTTAATTTACCATGTTGTCTGTTGTTGTGCTCTTGAGGGAAATCTTTTAGTCCAAACTGGTATTCTGATCTGAAAAGGCACACTTTTCTATACTGTGGGAAAAGTTTCCAGGCATATATTGCTACTCTCAGAGTTCCAGATTTTTTGACCTGGTTAAGAAAATGCAGATGTTATATAGCAATTGAAAGTTGATAGTGGAAAATGAATTATTTATAAAAAAACAGTCTTCCCTTCTCCTTTTGTGCTATTCAACAGTACTACATACATTAAATATTATTTTATTGTTTCTCTTAAAGAACCTTGATATGTTCTACCAGTGGCCTCCACAGAGAGAGAAGGAACTTTTACCATCATTTAGAACCTCTGTGTTGGTCCATTTGGTCCAACTGGTAAAGCATTATGTGGTCAGGACTTGTAGGAATATAGTCGTGGCAGTCAGTTTCCCTGAAAAGAGTTGAAGGATTAATTGTGTGCTGTGGTAATATTGTAATATTTAAGTAACAAAAGCTGAATTTATGTTGCGTTAACTTAGAACTCCGTCTTAGAAAAATTCACTGGTAACAAGAGAATGAGTAAAAAGAGAATGAACCCTTTATGGGGGTTGAGAAGTTGAGTGGATCAAGTGTATGTCTAAATTTGCATTAGAAAAGGCAAACAGGAGAGGTTCAAAATATTAAGACCTACCTTTGGTTGATCTTTAGTGTGGTGTAATACTGGTTATTAATATTCAAGAATGAACTTTTGTCTTACAGCAACTGAGCATGGATTATCTAGTCAGGCAGAACTGTATTGGCACCACCTTAGTGTGGATTTTTTTTTATAGTGCCTGACACATTAGTCCCAATTATCTGCTATTGACTACCTGGGCTAACAGACCAGATATGATTCTGTGATTTTTTTCATTCTGTTGTGTTTTTCTTCCAGATGCATGATAATTAAACTGTAGACATTATAGCAGTGTGCTTAGTGTCTAAACTTACAGATTTTGTCTTTGCAGTGAAAGTTCAAATGGCTGTTATGCTGTCTTCCTTCGTATGCGTGTGATTTAATTTTTCCATTTAACATTTGAGTGATGTATACTGCTTCCACAATAATATTTATTGCTTATCTTAGACAGGAGTTTGTCAATATATGTAATGGTTTCTTAACTGTTTCATTTTATTTTTCCAATGTGTTGTCTCTTTCCAGGCTTTGCATGACAGAAAATTTCCTGTTCCAAAACCTGTAGACTACAACAGGCATGCAGTTGTTATGGAACTTATTGATGGCTACCCTTTGTAAGTACTGAAGCTTGAATTCTCTGTGTTTGAGAAATGCTAACAATGTTAGGTTCAGTAAGGTAACAGGGTTAGGATTTTTTCTGTGTCATGTGAGTGAATTATAACTTCACCATGCTGAATAATGCTCTCTAGCCCACACTCGCTATCATTCTACTTAGTTATGGTCTTGCTTCTCTTATCTCTTTATTCAGATAAATTGTTTTTGTCTTAGTCCAAAGAAAGTGATGAAATAGACTAATTTTTTAAGTAGGGAATATATCAAAATAGCAGTGTCACACAAGTTAGTACTGCAACTGTTTTTTACACAGAAATCACATATTCTCTATGTTATTGGATATATACAATATTCAATATTATATCCTTCACATGCTGAGCTCTAGTTCATGATCCTTGCTCTGTTAATTCAGGTAAGATTATAACTCATCCTTTTAGAACTTCTTCTTTATTTGTGTAGAACATTGTATAGAATACTGTGTATAATTTGGTTTTTGCTTCTTCAAGGAAGATTACTTTGCTTGAGTTGTTCAACGTCTAGAAACGTTAAATATCATTGAAATTTGTACATGAAGGGATAGTTTTATTTTCTTTGCAGAGCAGAATGCAAAAGACCTATATACTCAATATAATGTAGAATAACCTAGGTGGTTATTCAGAGATTTAAAGTGTATAGTTCTAGAACAAGCCAGTCCATGCTCTTGTATAGTAATCAGGATCTAAAGTGGGCAGTTTAGTCAGGTTAATCCTAAAGTATAATGGTTGAAGAGTAACGTGGAAGAGATTTCATTATATTCTGTCTCCCCACCATCATTTGTTAAGTAATTCCACGTCCATGTGGAACTGCAGTGGAAGTTTACCATGCTCTCCCTGTTTTGCAGTTCTACCCTGAAGCAGGTAAGTAGTGGATGAGAAGTATTTCAAATATGACAAGACCAAAGAATCTCCAAATAGCTGAGATTGGAAGGGATCTCTGGCAGTCATCTGGTCTAAACACCTTCCTCAAGCAGGGCCACCTAGAGCCTGTTGGCAGTTTTGCTATTGTCCATTGCTAGAGTTGAAAAACTAGTGTGGAGTTGGTGACTTACGGTAAACTATTGTTACACTGTCTTTGACAAGTACAAGGTTACCCAAAGTTCCTGCCAAATTGGACTTAGTGTTTCATAGTCTACCTACTGTATTTCACACCTCACAGTATCACAGATAGTTGAAGTTGGAAGGGACCTCCAGAAGTCATCCGTTGCAACCTCCCTTCTTGAGCAGGGCCACCCACAGCTGGTGTCCAGGGCCATGTCAAGATGACTTTTCAATATCTCCAAGGAGGGAGACTCCACAACTTCTTTGGGCAACCTGTGCCAGTGCTCAGTCACCCTCACAGTCAAAAAGGTGTTTCCTATGTTCACACAGACTCTCTTGTGTTTCAGTTTGTGCCTGTTGGCTCTTGTCATGTCACTGGGCATGACTGAAAAAAGCTTGGCTCTGTCCTCTTTGTACCATCCCTTCAGGTATTTATAGACACTGATGAGGTCTCCCTGAGCATTCTCTTCTCCAGGCTGAACAGTCCCAGCTCTCCATTCTCCTCACAGGAGAGACGCTTCAGTCCCTTAATTATCTTTGTGGCCCCTTGTTGGACTCTCTCCAATATGTCTGTATCTCTCTTGTAGTGGGGAGGCCAGAACTGGACACAGTACTCCAGGTGTGCCCTCACCAGTGTTGGATAAAGGGGAAGCATCACCTGCTTCCATCTGCTGGCAATGCTTTGTCTAGTGCAGCTGAGGATACCATTAGCCACCTTGGCTGCATGGGCACATTACTGGGCCTCCGCTCCCGTCCCTTTCTGTCAAGCTGCTTTCCAGCTGAGTGGCACCCAGTGTGGGCTGGTGTGTGAGGTTGTTCCCCCCCAGGTGCAGGACTTTGCACTGCTCATTGAACTTCGTGAGGTTTATGTTGGCCCATCTCTCCAGCCTGTCAAGGTCTCTGTGGGTGGCAGCATGACCCTTTGGCATGTCAGCCACTCCTGGTTTGGTGTTGTCTGCAAACTCTCCACCATCATCCGTCTCATTAATGAAGATGATAAACAGGACTGGAACCACTTTTGACTGCTGGGGTACACTGCTAGTCACTGTCCTCCAACACGACTTTGTGCCCAGCCATTCAGGCAGTTTTCAATCCACCTCACTGTCTGCACATCCAGACTGCACATCAGCAGCTTTTCTGTGAGAGTCTTACAGGACTTACACTGTCAAAGCCTTACTGAAGTGCAGGTAGGCAGTATATACTGCTGTCCTCCCATCTAGCAGGCCAGTCACTTCATTACAGAAGTTTATGAAGTTGGTCAAGCATGACTTCCCTCGGTGAGGTTGACTCCTGTGGGTGATTTTCTTGTCCTAAATGTGCCTGACAGGGGTTTCCAGGATTAGCAGCTCCATCACCTTCCCAGGGCTCAAAGTGGGGCTGACCAGCCTATAGTTCCATGGATGCTCCTTGCCCTTTTTGAAGATGAGAGAAGTGTTTGCCTTTCTCCAGTCTCCAGGTCCTTCTCACAGTTGCCATGATTGGTCAGCAGTTATCAAGAATGGCCTTGCAATGACACCTGCCAGCTTCCTTAGCGGTCAGAGGATTGTTTGCTTCCTCAGCAAACATCCCATCAGAGTCCCTGGGCTTACCTATGTCCAGTTTGCTTAAGTATTCCCTGAACTGATGTTCTTCCACCAAGGGTACATCTTCCTTGCTCCAACCTTTCCCCTGGGGACCCAAGATTCCTATCTTGGAAGATAGCAGTTAACATGACATCGAAATTCAAAGAGCAAGTGAAACATTTTATGATACAGACCTGTGACTATAAGAAGTGTAACCAATTAATTTTGGTATGTGTATGAAAGTGTTCAACAGCAGCCTGTTATGGAGCTGCTAGACTTTCATTTTTCATTCTTTGTATTGTACAAATGATCTGTTCTCATAATACTGTAGTTCTGCATTTGGACCAGCATATTTCCCATGATAGCTGTCCACTTCTTGACAGTTTGTGGTACAATAAGATAACTGCCTTTTTACGTGGTTTGTTTCTAAAGAGAAGATGATTCGTATTTTGCCACGTAAGGTACTTTGCTTTCTCAGGTATACATTCAGGAGTGCTTTTAAGCTTTTTTTCTTTTTTTTTCTTCCCCCCCCCCCAAGCTTAATCTAAAAAATAGCTTTTTGTAAAAAAAAATGTCATGGGGCATTTGAGTTTGAATATAAGGATACCTAGTTCCT